AGTGCAGCCAGTTCAGCTATAAAAAACAGACCTAAAGATATTTTATCCTCTAGAAAACAAGCTCTATTATTGGATATTGGACGTCATACGTCGGACATCGAACGCAGTGTAAATCCTCCAAAAGATTGTTTTATGTTGGAGGATTCACACTGGGCGAGTTCAGAAAACACAACAGTTGTGTGAACGCTCATCGCCATTGAAGTATTCTATGGTCGGCGTCACATAGAACCCGTAATCCGTAATCCGCACCGGAAGTCCGCAAAAGTTACTAGGGATTGCGTCCGTAACGTTACGTGTGTTTTTTCTCCTTGTGTCCCATGGAGCCGTAAATATACACGTAACGGTATTACTATTTTTATTTAACAGATTATAATTGTTTATTTGTATTTATTCATAAGAAAACTACAGAATATATTATAATTTTAACAAAAATTTTAATTAAATTGTCAAATTTAGTTAAATAAATAAAATTAAAAAAAGCATTACTAGTAATAACTAGTAACTTTTAGTAACTTTTACGGAAATTTCATGGAATTACGGCTCCATGGGACACAAGGAGATAAAACACACGTAACGTTACGGACGCAATCCCTAGTAACTTTTGCGGACTTTCGGTGCGGATTACGGATTACGGGTTTTATGTGACGCCGGCCTAACTCTTGCGGACTTCCGGTGCGAATTACGGATTACGGGTATACACACTGTATGTGACGACACCCTAAATCCTCCATATAAAACAATCTCTCCTATTGGATATCGGACATTGTACGTCGAAATCGGACCCAGTGTGAATCCAGCAAGTGTGAATCCAGCATTATTCACACTGAACGCGTCGCGTCTCTCACATATGTGAGAGAGAAAACAATACATATGAAATTCCTTTCTCTTTCTAAATTCTCAACACTTCGAACGACATAAGCAGTCTAGTACTTATTACGTTTATGTAAGAAGCGTTATACGCAGTGAGCGACACATGCATTGGTCGATAAAGAAAAATATACACACGAAAATATGGGGACGTTACACTATCAAGAAAAATATCTGTGCCTTATTTATGGCCGCGGTTTATGCTTTGGTCTTAATCTTAATCTTAAGAGTTGATAACGTAGAATGCCATAAGGGCGTTTATACTTCCCTAGTCTTAATCTTATAGCGTTTTCGATTATACAGGATTTGAACGACCCAGGGTTGATCAATCACTATTTTACTAT